ATTAAGAGAGGGCTCTTATAAAAACTCTTTTTTGAATTCTATCAGTAATTTACAAAATTTATTTCTTTGCTTTCTTTTAACAGCGCCGCCGTTGAGGTTGCTGCATAAAACATCTTCTCCATCATCAGTGCAAGGTATTTTACAGATTTATCACAATGGTCAATGGGGAACGATATGTGGTTCCTGGTGGTATGAAAGTAACACAAACATCTCCTGTAAACAGCTTGGCTATGAGTGGGCATTGAGGTCCATGCACTTAGGACGAGGACCTGATCCAATTTGGCTTTCTAATGTATACTGTAATGGTAATGAATTGTCACTAGATCAGTGCCGACACCCAGGATGGGGTAAACCTAGCTGCAGTCATAATAGGGATGTTGGTATCGTGTGTTATACAGGTACATATGATCATTATGGACGTCTTGTTGACAGATTGTTGTTTTTTAACAACAAAAATCCGTCAAACAAACCAGGTTACTGATTTGCACAAAGTTTCACTAATGGAATACTAGAAAAATGAGGAGCTTTTCTAGAAAGTATTATTACGATCACCACGATCATTGTCACTGATACAAATCTATCATTAAATTCAGGTCCTCCAGTCAAAGTTCGACTGATTGGTGATGTGCCTAATGCTGGTCGAGTACAATTGTTGTACAAAGGTGTCTGGAGAAACCTCTGCGGCTCGAGTTGGGATTCATCAGCTGCTAAAGTCATTTGCCGAATGGCTGGTTATCCTGATGGTTATCCTGTACCCTTTGGTCGCTACGAGGGATCTGGGGACGTGTGGCTCTCCGGAAGCTATGCGTGTACTGGCTTTGAATCCTCTATTGAATCATGTCGGAAACTTAACTGGGGAAAAGCGACTTGTTCAGATAACAACTTAGCTGGTGTTGTTTGTAAATCAGGTGAACTTGAATTGTTTTCGTCGACTGAGAACCGAAGTATTGAATTAAAATTTGATAGGTTTTAGTACCAAAAATCTTAGTTGCGCGTTTCGCACTACACGGATTTTTTTCTTTTGAAACATAGAATGCTAACAACATATCTATGAAATACACAAAATTTTTAAGAAATCGGACTTTTTTGCACGCAGAAAGGCAAACAATTTGTGAGGGTTTTTTTAAATATCGTATTGTAGTTGGCCAACGCAGCAAATTAAAGTTAACTGAGAACCTACCTCTAGTAGCTCACGAATAATTCAACTAATATATGAATGAACATTGCAAGTATACGAGCATTGTTGATGCGAAGTTCGCGAATTAAAGAAATGGGAAATTTCGAAGTCAGTAAGTAGGACTAACCTTAACAGAAAATATATTTTTATCTCAAAAAGACATCGGAAGTACACTGCGCGGCCAAAATGACCGTTTCATTTCGATTGATGGAGTGATATCAATTTTTTATTTCGAATAGTTTTTTCAAAACCCTTATCCTATTATGTCGAGTTACCAAAGCAATCGACAATCATTGACTTTTTTAAAGAAGACTACGATGTGATTAACATTAAAGCCATCCATCTATATCTACATTTCTAGAACTCATAAATTATTTATTAGCTATTAGTACGATTACCATACTTCTAGTGGACTATTTGAAATGCTACCTTTTGATTGGCAACGCTACTCAGGGCCTATAGTCCTCGACTAGTGAAAAGTGACAACTTTTTGCGTATTTTTAGCAATAAACAAATTTAGTTATTGATATATTTCATTCATTCACTAGTACGGCCTCATAGGCAATTAGCTCGTAGTCCACTCGCCCTTGAGATCTAATTGTTGATTAGTCTAATTGTGGCACAATGCACATGCTCAATAGAAGTTTAATATGCATTATAACTGTTTTAGCATTTTAATTTTTTTTTTCTAAAATTAGAACAATTTCTGGGTGCTGGAGTTCTAGAAGTCTTTTACAAAACACGACTGTGCGGCTCGAATCTATATTTAAGAAATATAAAGCGCGTACGCTCCTGTTTCTAAGGTTGCTTCTCTCGGTTTTTCAACTCCCACCGTGTTTATATCAGAGGACAGAGACACAAGCGGCAGTTTTATACGATATAGAAATGAAAGAAAGTTATAGTGCTTAGAAGGAGGCAATTCCGGGAGAAGTCCCTTAGAAATAAATTCGGAAAAATTAATTTCCGACCTCGCTGGGATTCGAACCCACGACCTTCGGATTTGTACACCGATGCTCTACCAGCTGAGCTACAAGGCCAGACTGGGAGCAGGTCGGGGTGAAATAGATGTTAAGGTTGCGGTAATAGAATAATGTAAAGATATGAATATGAAGACCGCATGGCACTATGATAAACACGATATAGAAATGAAAGAAAGTTATAGTGCTTAGAAGGAGGCAATTCCGGGAGAAGTCCCTTAGGAATAAATTCGGAAAAATTAATTTCCGACCTCGCTGGGATTCGAACCCACGACCTTCGGATTTGTACACCGATGCTCTACCAGCTGAGCTACAAGGCCAGACTGGGAGCAGGTCGGGGTGAAATAGATGTTAAGGTTGCGGTAATAGAATAATGTAAAGATATGAATATGAAGACCGCATGGCACTATGATAAACACGATATAGAAATGAAAGAAAGTTATAGTGCTTAGAAGGAGGCAATTCCGGGAGAAGTCCCTTAGAAATAAATTCGGAAAAATTAATTTCCGACCTCGCTGGGAGGTCTGTTTTAATTGGTTGGCTTTCGTGTGTTATCAAAGTATAGATACACGGATTACGTCAAAACTAATTGTTTGTTGTATAAAACAGATAATAGATACACAACAGTCAAGCACTCGACTGCGTCTCGTGCGTACTTTTTTGTTCTCACTACATTTTGACGTCATCTGTGTATCTATTAGAGTACACACGCACGGAAAAATGAGATCTATTTGTTAAATACCATTTTGGAAACATCTGCAATTTCATNGAATATGAAGACCGCATGGCACTATGATAAACACGATATAGAAATGAAAGAAAGTTATAGTGCTTAGAAGGAGGCAATTCCGGGAGAAGTCCCTTAGGAATAAATTCGGAAAAATTAATTTCCGACCTCGCTGGGATTCGAACCCACGACCTTCGGATTTGTACACCGATGCTCTACCAGCTGAGCTACAAGGCCAGACTGGGAGCAGGTCGGGGTGAAATAGATGTTAAGGTTGCGGTAATAGAATAATGTAAAGATATGAATATGAAGACCGCATGGCACTATGATAAACACGATATAGAAATGAAAGAAAGTTATAGTGCTTAGAAGGAGGCAATTCCGGGAGAAGTCCCTTAGGAATAAATTCGGAAAAATTAATTTCCGACCTCGCTGGGATTCGAACCCACGACCTTCGGATTTGTACACCGATGCTCTACCAGCTGAGCTACAAGGCCAGACTGGGAGCAGGTCGGGGTGAAATAGATGTTAAGGTTGCGGTAATAGAATAATGTAAAGATATGAATATGAAGACCGCATGGCACTATGATAAACACGATATAGAAATGAAAGAAAGTTATAGTGCTTAGAAGGAGGCAATTCCGGGAGAAGTCCCTTAGAAATAAATTCGGAAAAATTAATTTCCGACCTCGCTGGGATTCGAACCCACGACCTTTTTATAGTTTTTGCGTTTTTTGATCAAAAAACAAATATTGCCGGTAAGCCGTGTCTCTGTCCTCTGATATAAACACGGTCGTCAGCCAATTAAAGCGAAGGGAAGAATTACTAGTTCATATTATAACCTTTGTCAACCTGGTTTATGTGTGAAAAAAGTGTCAAGCCATAATATACAAGGACTGGTCCATGCGCTGATAACGAGCTCAGACTTAACTTGTACTACAACGCTCCATTTTCATTATTTTGACTAACGCGATACATATGTATCTTTTTCAGGATCACCGAATGTCGCATATCGACTTGCGGATGGATCAGTACCTCATGCAGGAAGACTGGAAATGCGCTACTATGGGTTATGGAGACCAGTTTACCTTGTTTATGGTCGGCGATCAGACCACGATGTACTTTGTCGYATGATGGGTTACAATCAAGCTATTATTGCCTTCAGAAACGTCCAAGAAAAAAGATACAGCTACGATCTAAGAATGAACTGTAGGGGTTTTGAAAATACAACAAAACAGTGTGAACGAACCTCTTTCAATTCAAATGTGAGTCATGAAACTAAAGAAACTACCTGGATAGTTTGTAAACCACATGCAGGTATTTTACTAGCTTCTCCCTCTACAGAAAACCGATATTTCAAGATATCGGCATTTCAAAACTACATAAATCTATAAAAAGTTTAAGTTTTGAACTGATAAGATCAACCCATATAGGTGTGTTAGAGGCTCTCGAACCCCTTTTAGATCGAAAGAATTTTTATCAGATGAACACCATTTTCCTCTTTCAAGGATCTAGATTTGCTRTTCGTTTGATGGATGGCATCTCTTTGAACGAAGGCCGCGTGGAAATTGGAAATTCAGGGGTCTGGGGCACAGTTAGTGTCGAGTATGTATATTGGAGTAGCAGGACACGCTGGAGTTCGACAGATGCTGACATAGTTTGTCGTATGTTGGGATACCGCAAYGCATCATGGACAGRACRAGTTAAAGTGTCAGGGAATTATTTAAAGACAGTATTTGATCATTGCACAAGAAACGAAATCTCACTTGAGCACTGTCGATATTATCCCGCCCGGAGATACTATGATTTACGGGACATTGGAGTTCGGTGTTCTAGTTATCAGGGTAAGATTAACTACATTTCACTAAAGTAGTACAAAGGTCTATTGATCTACGACAATGATGATTTTGCAACAACATGTATATTTTGTCACAACGAAAATTGATTTTTTTTCTCAACTGTGAAAATGTTCCGAAAGAGATACTTTCAATTGATTGTTATATAACAGGTTTTGCTTTAGAATGACTAAATGACTGACTTCATAGCACTCGAACCACTACCTATCTCATTGTACCTAGTTATGAGACAAGACCGGGGTTGTAGTCTAGATCGTATTGGAAAGTACAGACCAAAGTATGGAAAGTGCTTGAGTTTGGAATTCCTACTAAACAAAAACTCCGACTGAGRAAAGTCTTTCTGGTCGAGMTTCCTCAACCTCAGCTTGGAGGAAGAAATTATTCATAGTTTGTAATTACTGTAATWACTGTAATTGATGAGAACCAATAAACGAGTGCCAAATCAGATCCTTTTCATTTGAGAGTGTCCTCACATTATACTCCCTATGCTTACAGATACTATGACATTACAGATACGACTAGAAAAGGGATTCGCACCCCATTCTGGTCGAGTTGGTGTTCGCTATGGTAATTCATGGAGTACTTTATGTTACGAGGGACTGGACTACCCTGATGTAAAAGTAATATGTCGAATGCTTGGATATAGGAACGTTGATCATGTTTACGCTGTGAGGGCACCAAGCTCTGCTAATGGCCGTGTCTGGCTTAGTGGTGTTGAGTGTAATGGAACTGAAGCTTCAATACTGAATTGCAGTCGCACAGGATGGTGGCAGACGACGTGTCACTTTGACGCTGTGATCACGTGCAAGACACCAGGTGCATTTGAATTCTATTACACTAAAGGCGGAAGATAGGCGGAAGTGCTGGCGAGATGCAGCCAATAAACTTTTCCTTTTTCGTAGTTCCAAACTTGCATTCTTCAAACATAGTTAATAAATCGCCACTTACATTCACATAGAAATATTGAGTGCAACTTCAAATAATTTAACCAATCGTCAATAGCATATTAGAAACTTTTATTCTTTGTTTTCTTTACAGCTAAAACAGCGGTAGGTATCCGTCTGGAAAGCGATACCACACCACATTCTGGTCGAGTTGGTATTCGCTATGGTAACACATGGGGTACTTTATGTAACAAAGGACTGGATACGAACGATGCTAAAGTCATCTGCCGCATGCTTGGTTATGTTGGAGTAAGTCACGTGCTCACGATTCCTGGAAATGGTACTATTTGGCTCAGTGACCTTGAATGCAACGGAGAAGAAGATTCAATTGTTGACTGTAGTCATTCAGGTTGGTGGCAGGCAAGCAATTGTACCCATGACCAGGACGCTGCCGTCACGTGCAAGTTAGGTAAAGTATTTTACATTGTAAAAATTAGGATCAAATAAATGAAAAATATGAAATAAATGTTTTGAACTTATGTGACTTAATGGTACTTGTCAGTATACATTATCAAGTGGTTATAATTTTTTTTATAACTTATTATTGCTTGCTCTTTCTTGGAAAGCTGATGCCCCTCATTTTCAAATCGACATAAACAACGGCATTACAGGTTCTACAGCAATTATAAACATGGTCAAAGCAGCCGAACCAGATCCACGACTGAAAAGGTAAAAACTAACAATTTGACAGAATACAGTTGCCATTTTGTCCTTATTCTTTCTGAAGATAAACTTCTCTTTTCAGCTCGTATCAATTTGTAGTGGAAAAGGGTCGTGAAATTCCTTCCCCTATCATTTCACAGAGCAATAAAACCATGAAGGCATGTTCCACCATCACCAAGACAGTGTTCAGTGATTCTTACATCGCTGCAGAGATTCCAGCCAGTTCTAGTAGTTTCACTATTGGCGACGGCCTATATTACCATGGTTACCATAATGTACCATTAGAACCCGGATGTGTATACAGGGCTCACGTGAGGATCCTTACCATGTCAATAAATGGGGTAAATGTAGCAATCTATATTAAAAGTCTTCAGCAGCAAATCAAAAAGTCACCAGTGCAAAGAAATAATCACCTCTTGCTTTGGTTTCAGAAAAAGATTTTTGGAAAATCCAGTTTTGCAAGGTTTGCAACAAGACCAAAAAGTGAGAAAATTGCATTTCCAACCTGAGATTCACTTGTCGTTAAAATGATCTCTTGTCTTTGATGTTTCAGTTGATCCACCCACGTTTCAAATAAGTAACAGCAGCTCTATAAAGCAAACGTCAGCAATGATCACCTTTCTTGCCGTGCAGAACAAACCAATAGCAGATCGGTAAGCGTGTTTTCCAAGATACTGTTAATCTGTTTTTCTAGGAAATTGCTCACACGGTCAATTAGCAGTTGCGATCATGTCAAAGTTGCCAAATGGTGGTGATGACTGGATTATAATCAAATCCAATGCACGGTTTAAATGAACCTTAATCCTTTAGACTTGAAGATAGATGAAAGAAAAGATTTATGATTCCAACCCAACAACGGATTATGGGATAATTGGGAAGGATATGAAGTACTTCAATATCTTTTTTAACAACACGTTTGCTAAGTTGCCTGTCAACGAGATGTCGCGATTCTCTCCAAGGACTGACAATCTCCAAGGCCATGACAACTTCTGAGACGAAACGAGGTGACAATCCTCGCGCAGGGGTAACAATCCCAAGTGTCTCAATCCTTTCCAGAGGATCACAATTTCCCATAGAGAGATCCTTTACCTATCTTTGCCTGCGATGATTGATAGATCAGTTGCGCAATTCACGCCTATCAAGTAGGGGTTGACTTTCTCTATTCATACTAATAAACTGAATAAACTGGCTTACAAAAAGAGGGAAATATCGAAGAGCTTTTTCCTTTTAGTTCGTATCAAGTTGCCGTCGAAAAGGCAGCCGACAAAGATGTTTTCCAATCCAAAGACATGCGAGTAAACCATTCTTACATCGCTGCTGAGATACCAACTACCACTTCTACGTTCACCATCGGTGATGGTTTGAATTACCATGGTTACAATAACACACCATTAGAACCCGGATGTACTTATAAAGTTTATGTGAGAGTCGTCGCAAAGATATCGAATGAGGTAATAATAATCACGTAAAAAGCATTTTGATTAAATGCAGCTAATGCAATTAGGTTGAACTCAAAACACGCGTGCATTATACCATGCTGACTAGCATGTGGTATGCTGTGGGGGCGCCCCTCATTCTTGCAGGGTTAGTAGCCAACTTTATGTGCTGTCGCACCCACTAAGACGCTTTTTGTTTGTGAAATTCCGAACCACCCACCGTTATCGGTAAGTAAGATAGGCCAGCATTCTCCATTCTCGACCTCCTGGTCGAAACGCTCCATTATTTATTTTTCAGAAAAGAGTCATTAGCGACGCGCCATTCGTATCTTTTACAACGAAATCTGGTGTGCACGGCCATACACAAGGTAAAATATTCCATGGGATCCAACATTCACGTCATGATATCGATAGATAGATATGGCTTATCTACAAAGAATTACGGATTTCTCCATTAAAACTGCTAGAAGATGATCTTCATAAGAAGTGACAACTTTTCTAAAGATGATACCGTTTGTCATATTTATTACATTCAGTTCGAAGTCAAAACTTATATAAATTTATATTAAATTCTTCAGGACATTCTGATACGAATTCAGACGGCAATGATTCATTGGTGATTGGTTTATCCGTCGTTTTGGCGATGACGATATCTGCCATGTCTGCATTGGTTGGTTACATTGTGTATGATGTGGTAAAGAATAGAAAGAAGCAAAAGACAGAAGATACCAATCCGCAGATCGAGATCTCAGGTACCGTGAATTACATTAAACTGTCCGTTTATTTTAACGAACTGAGAGTTAAAATTATCATTTTGTTTATTTTACTGCTTTTTAAAAATGCAGACATTTCCGATGCTAATGCGTTTTCTTAGCGAAGTGGGGTGAGTGGAGGGCAATGCACCAATGCAACACAACAACACAAAATCATTAACGAAGTTCTCTTAGAAATGGGAGTAAGGGTGATACACGACAGATCAATTGTGATTTCTTCGAAAATTATGCCTTAAACGTTTAAACTAGACTTATTATATGGACGACATTGAAATAGATAATCAATACTGAAAAAGAATGACACGAGATCTGAAATTGGCTAAAACTGATTATAATGACTGACTGGTAAAGGTATTTCCAATTGTTGTCATTATTCCAAATGTCACTTCAATTGTAATATAAAATGGTCACAATTACTCCTTCGTAACAGATTTGACGGCTGCACGTGTTAATACAGGAGAAACCTCTGGCCATCAATACCAGGAGTACCTGCCACAGCGCGGCAAAAAAAGTAATTATTCTTTCCCTTACTTATTTGTGGATTATCTTAGAACGTGACGGTTGATTCGTAGACAGTTTAGGAAAAAATCTGATTGGGAAGCGTCAAATTTCCTTCGGGGGCTTGTTCAGGCCCAGTCAACATTTATGCACTTTTCATTCGCTGCAAACAATCTGTTCTTTCAGCAACAAAACGCGGTTTACACTCAAACACTTTTCATTTTTTTCGCTCATGTGACAGGAATTTTTGCGATAACGCACGTCCATTGAACTCGGTAGCAATATAAATTATGTAGACAGAGACAAACAAATTCCCAACAATGCATGGCGTTTCAGTGCTATTAGCGCTCACATGCTTTCCAAAGCCAGACGTTGCAAGGGGCTACTGGCAAAACTACGAAAAACTTTTAAAACATCTTTGGGCAATATAAAGTCCAATTGTGGAAAGGTCTTCCTAATTTGCAGATTTCAAGCTTGAAAAACGATTATGAATAGTTCAGTCATTTTACTGCTAACATGGACGAGTAAAACTCCGTTAGAACTAACAAATGAAGACCACGTATATGGATAGTGAAAAACACACAGGCAGTTCCTCTTGATTGTAATGAATCATCTTACCTTCACAGATGCAGTCAGCTTGGCTGGTAATGATTCCCATTATCAGTCTCTCGATCCACAGAAAAGATCCAAGCAAAGTGGAGGCTTTGGTATAGAATCTTCTTACCAGGTCGTTGGTGGACCGGTGAGTACTTTTTGGGTCGAGTCAATCGAGTGCTGTTAGATCCCGATTGCTGTAGGTTAAATAAACAATTATTGGAATTACTTTTCCTTTGCCACATTAACCAAATTATATTTCTGTTGTGAATCCTGGCTGAAATTTTAACATATTAACTGATATATAAACAATTAATGGTGAAGACTGAATATGATAAGAGAATCATACATGTTTGCATTGGGAGGTACCAGAGTTTGATTATCTTAACCTTTTATTTAAAAAACATATAAAAACTAAACATTTTGTCTTTTTATTTATGAACTTTATGCTTTAAGGTCTTTTATTTGAGTTGGATTGCCTTCAATTTTTTTTACAGGGGAAATCTTCTTTGTCCCACACGGAAGAGGCAATATACGAGAACGCCTGAATCACATGGATCCTCAGAGACAGAAGCAGAAGCATTTGGCGTAGAAAAAAAAAACAATAATTCGCTAAAACAGTACAATGTTAAAATATGATACACTGGAACCTCATCTTACGAACACCAAACAGTCGCAGAAGAAATCTTCCTTCAGAAAATGTATCCGTAGAGGTTTTCATAACGTTGTGATAATCTTTCTTCACACCGATTCAATCGCCGAGACCTACCATTAAAAGGTATTAAATAGGTCTATCAGTACATAATATGAGATCAGAGATCATTTTTTGGATCGGGGATCACATTTTTTGTCATTTTGGTGGAGGGGGAGGGTTCAAGGATCAAAGTTTGAGCATTGGCATTGGGATTTGAAAATATTATGTAGTGGTCTCAGTGATTCATGATCTAAAAGTTATTCAGAGACTGATGAGGAACACGGATCAAATAGTCATTATTTCGAGATCAAGGATCAGACTTTTAGCCCTGTGATTGGGCATCACTGACAGAACTATGCCTCGTTACTACACTGCGATAGGGCTGTTGTAATGAAGAAGTCTTCCATGAAACTGCTGTCCGTAAGGAGAGGTTCCTGTGCATTTCCGTTAGGTTAATAAGCTCCTGTAAGCTCTATGGTAATAAACTTGGTTTAAAAAGTTGTATTAAAAACATTAAGTTGTATTAAAAACATTAAGCTGTATTAAAATCATTTTGTTGAAAAACAATAAATCATGTTATAGTATTTAGCTAATGACCCCCTTCTCCCTCAAGGATTCTACTGCGTTAAGGGACCTTTGTGGTTTACACTTAAGAAGTAATTAGTTTCTTTCTTGAATGAAGATGATGACAACAAACGTGTTACATCAGCATACATGTAGGTAATGACGGTCCCTATCCCCTGGTTCTCCTTTAAATAGGATATGCAATTGACTTTCATTTGTCTTGGGTAGGGTCTACATTTTACTAATTTCTCTTGAATACTGGGTATAGAATTTCACGATATTGCTGTCTTGAATAGGATCAGGGTTTTAGAGGTTTTTTTTACCAGCGGAACGTCCCTGTCCCATTCTGGCCCCCCACTCTCCCGGGTGACGAACATTTTTCTCGTCGTGTTCATCCCAGAGCAAAGCCAACAAGACCCCTTCCCTTCTTAAGCCAGTACCGCGAAGGGAGACAACAGTGTATTCAATATTGTCTGACAAGCTTGTTTATATGTTTGGTGGCAATGGTGTGTTAGGTGCTGAGTTGGTGTCATTGCTTCGTCTAAGACCAGGGAACGAGATCGCCGTAGTAAATCGAGGAAACTGGTACTGGGATAGCAAGTTTCGTATAAAACCATTCGTGAGGTATTGAGTAAAGTTCTCACGTTTCTATCGGTTGGTTGTACAGTTCAGTCTACACTTATTCATTTTTGTTTTTACAGCCTGTTCTTCCAGCAACGAATTGCAACTCCTCCAAAACGTTTGGTTCTTTAGCAACAGTTTTTGGTCCTATATAACGTACTCACACTGAACTCTGTTTTACTATTCATTTCGTGAACGGAGACAAAGGAATTTCCAAGAATGAATCGCGTTTCAGAACAAAGGGGCTACTTAGATACATCGTTAGACTATATTACGTTCGTTTGCGAACGCGTTTTCATAATCTACACATGTACAAAACTGATCGAGCAAATCGATGCTTCACAAACGTTTTGAGCAGTGCTCCGAATCTTAAGTCTCTGCATCAAAGAGGTTTTGGGTGAGTTTCTTACATACGGGACTTGGTCATCTTTGATTTTAAAACAATCAGAAAGCACCATTCAACAAGGGATCATTTGTAAAACAAAAGAAATGAACTCAAAGGTTGATGGATGCACGTGGACTAAACTAAGTATCTAGAGAGTGAAAAAAAGACACTCAAGCAGTTCCTATTGATTGTATAAATCATCTTACCTTCACAGATGCAGTCAGCTTGGCTGGTAATGATTTCCATTATCAGTCTCTCGATCCACAGAAACGATCCCAGAAACGTGGAGGGTTTGGTGAAGAATCTGCCTACCATATCTCTAATGTCGTCGTTAGACCGATGAGTGGTTTTCGGGTCGAGTGCTGTAAAGATTCCGCTTTCTGTAGGTGAAACAATTATCGGAATTGAAATACTTTGCCTTTGGCTTAGAGATAATTAGATTATAATTCCATTATTAATCGAGGCTGCAGTTTTCGCATATTTGACTGGAAATTCAATTATAATGATTAAGCAGAGTGCATAGAACTGTTCTCCACCAATGTAAGGAACCGTGGATTCAATATAACTTCTGTTTTCTTTTGTTTTTTTCATTGTGATCTCAGTTCTAACTTCTAACTTCTTTCACAAATCTGTTCGGCTTATATGTGCTACAATCAGACAGTGTTTGGGTTTTACCTGGGGTATTAAAATTTACCCCACACCAATTTGCAGCCAATCCTTTCCTTTTCCTGGGATTAGAACTTTCTGGGAATGGTTGGTTTTGTCTGGTTTTGTGGCATCCCGTGAGGGGTGTGCCCCTGGCTGATGGTACCACATATAGCTCTCCAATATAAATTATATCTACAAATACTTTCTTAAAGCATCTATTTTACCATTATTCGTGATTTATACTATTTGCCAGGCTGGTCATGGTTGGACGCGTGAACTACGGCGACTCCCGATCCTGGCCGATCTTCGTTCCAAGCGCGACCACCCATACCTAGCCTACAAAATGTCAGAATAACGTCTCGTAACTAATCCACTTGTAATGTTTAAAGTTAAGCTAAATATTAAATTTCCTATATTTTAAATGTCATCTTAAATTTCAGCATAGCGCCTCGTAACACAGGTATGCGATGTTAAAAGAGTACTAATTTTTTTTTCCTTTTTTAAATTTAAAAACATGGATATGAAAACCTAAACATTTTGACTTAAATTTGACTCCATTTCCATGACTTGTTTTACAGGGCAAACTTACTTTGTCCCACAAGGAAGAGCCGATATACGAAAATACCAAGAGTCTGAATCTGATGGGTCCTCACAGAGTCATCAAGCAATTGCAACAACGACAAATAAAAAAAAATTATCAACTAAAAAGAATGAACGAAGACACTGCCACAATCCTGGACAAAAAGGTTGAGAGTAACTGCACTCTTCAGGTCAGTTCAATAAAACAACCTCTCTACCCCCTCCGCCCCCCCCCCCCCCCCCCCCCCCCAAACAGTGTTGTTAGCACCCAAACAGAATCCAGCAGGTATGTGTGCTCTTTAAAGTACAACTTTGAGCGAAGGGCAGAAAAAGAAAAAATAAATACGGAGACATTTCAACATTCTGCGATTTTTAAAACATTCTCAACTCTTTTTGTCCAGGATTGCATGTCCAAAACCCGACACAAGGTGCACTAATCGCCTTCGTGTTGAAGTATCATAATAATAACAATCATCATCATCGTAATCATCATCATGACTTTATTACAGCATTTAAAGAGGCTCTTCAACGAAAAGTAAACGAAAAAACTAAAGTATCCAGCATCTTGAATTCTATTGTTTTTTAAAAGTATCAATTCTGTAAGAAACTATGGAATGCCCAGTCCTATAATTTCTTCAAAATTCAAGATGGCGGCCATATTAGTAAAAAGGTCTGTTTGGTGGAGCTATAAGATTGTTGCAATGAAGATGACCTGTTAGTAAAGGTTCCAGTGAGGGTCAGTTAGTGGAGCGCTAAAAACAAACTCATGAAAGTTCTATGATAACTAGTTTGGAGTACAACTTTAAGCAATTCGGACGCTCGATTACTTTAAAATAACAAACAGTATGAAATGAGCACTACTTTCTATCAGGGGCAGATCCAGGGGGGTGTCAGGTGGGTTCCCAATAAATGTCTAAAACAATTCAGCGCACCGTTAGAGTATACCAGCTTGATAATATAAAAAACGGTCAATATATAACGACGGTTGATGCGTTATTTAACGTACAGATATTAGAAGACGATTACAAATTTTCTTTTCGTTTTCAGAAAAAGATTTTGCACGTATCCCATGATATTTGCACCACTTGGTCGCGCAGTTATAACTACTAATGATACAATGTCATATAGAAAGCGCCTGTGCTCAAGGAAAACATAGAAGCCGACACTTTGATGAGAAAAGGATGTCATGTGGAGGAAATGAAAGCCCATGAACCGAAACACCGATTGGCAGCTCTAACGTTTCATTTTAACCTCATGTTTAGAATTCAAACCCTCAAAGATTTGACCAATTAAAAAATCTTAAACGAGAACAACTTCGTGGAACATACCTTGTCCAGGGATACTAAGCGTACAGATTTTTGCAGTGGAATATATGTTTATCAGCACCATGATTGATTTATTGGATTCTCAGTATAATCTTTTCGCATCATTTCTTCTAAATATTTTATAATTTCAGCGAAAACTTAGCATTCGGTTTGCATTCGCATTGTGCTCAGAGAATTTATAAGATGGAAGGTCGCTTCGCATTTTAGAAAGAAAAACAGAACAAGTACATTTCAAAGTTAAAAAGAAGGAAGAAAGAAAATAGTTCGGCGCAACTATTCGACGATATCTACAGGAAAAAATAAACATGACTGGAATAAGTATATATTAGTAAAAAAAAGAAGGAAAGAAACTCGAGTCGTGAATCGAACCCGCGATCCAAGTTCGACGATATTCGAAACCAATTCAATGATTTAATGTTATACCGTTAATTTTATCTACTTCTTGTTTTATTGAAGTTTTTCAAAGCATGTCCAAACGTTATTTGAGCGTCTGATTGATTAGATCAACTGTCAACCACTAATTGTCTGACAGTCATATGTTGTTATGATTTAGTATAGTTCGAATTCGAAAGGTGAGCTGCCATGAAAGTGTAGTAGTATAGAGTCAGCAGCACGGACCCCCATTTTTTGTGGGATTTGTGGAAAAAATCTGTGTGCTCATGAATATTTGTGGGTTAATATATTCAATATTTTTGTGGGCTATTACATATTCATTTTTGTGAGCCTTTCACTTAATCCCCGAACAATAGTCCTTTTGTTCCCCGAAAGTAGGTGGTAGGTGGTAGGTGGGTATGCTAATGAAGTCAAAAGTGATAGGGGAGGGGTGGTCAAAACGAGTAGGTGGTATAAATTATTTTAGTAGGTGGGTATGCTAATGAAGTCAAAAGTGATAAGGGAGGGGTGGTCAAAACGAGTAGGAGGTAATTCATTATCATAAAATTGTGGGCAATCTAATTATGCAACGTTAGTGTTGATAAATCGAGGGCAACCCTGTCATACAACTTATGTGTTGGTAATCTAATTATGCAATGTTGATAATATTTTATGTCAAGGTTCAGCGATCGCATAAATTAGTATCTGAAGAAAAGGTTAATGATCACTTTTGTTCTGAGACAATAGGTCACCTGCTACAGGAGTTTGAATAACCAAAAATTATGATTTTCAGCCTTTTTATATTTCTAACTATTGATTACTATACCTCACTTTTATTGTAAAGGCATTCATTACTTTGAAAACTTCCGAGAGGCCCGGAAAGGACCGGAAAGGCCCGAAGCTGTCCGAAAGTTCCGGAAAGGACCGAAGCTGTCCGGAAAGGCCCGAAGCTGACCGGAAATGGCCCGAAGCTGACCATAGAATGAGCTCCTGTTTCATCAGCATTTTAAAATAAGCAACAACAATGCAATCATTTAT